ATATAATAATATAAAAACATCTAAAGAGGCAGACTTAATAGAATTTATATACATTTTCTTCTTCCTAGGCACAAATCAGGAGGGAGGTTGAACTCAGAGAATCCAGAAGGGACTTCTAGTTTCTTACCAGCTAATTATCACACTATACTTACCAGCTACCTTAGACAGAAAAAGGAAAGAGAGAGAGAAACAGAGGGACAAAGAGGTGAGGAAATTAATAACAAACTATCAAGTCCTAATCTACCAGGAATCTCATGTCCTGGATAGGATTTAGCAGGTGCTCTCCTTTAACCCTGAAGGAACATAAGCAATGTCCATTTCCATAGGAAAAAAAAATAATATGTTAATTCACATTTCTTCCTTTAAAAGTAGAAAAATAAGTAGTATTATATTTCTTCTGAGAAAACTCAGAGACCAGAGACTTCTGATGTGTCCTTTAAAGATATATCAAGCAGTTCCTGCAGTGGTGTTTTTTTCTCCCTCCAGTGTTTCTGTGATGTCTCTGTCTCTGGAAAATCTGGTCCTTTCTAAGTCCCAGTAGCATGGGAGGAGCATCCTACTAAAGTCTGTGTGTGCTTTGAATGCTGACAGGCCCTCTTATAAGAGGGAGGCCAGACTGGTCAAGTTGTTCTCATCTGCTGGCTCAATGGGATCGCTGAATTCAAACACCTGGTCTATGTTGACACAGTTGGAGAGGAAATCACTTGTGTCTTCGTCCCAGGGATGCTGCAGGACAGAAGTGGCGATGAAAGTTTCATCAAAGTCCAAGTTGTTCTGGTTGGATTCAGTGAGGACCAGCTCCTGCCCCTCGGGACAGTCAGTGTGCTGCCCGTGTACCATCAAGTCCAGGTCGTGTGTTACGGGGTTGATGGGAGGTATGGTGTCCAGGTTCTCAAAAGCGAGGCAGTCTCCATTCAGGCTGGTGTTGAAGATGGCTTGCCAGTCAAAGTCACCTTTCAGCGATCCCAGCTCAGTCTGCTCTTCCTGGGTCAGCGAGGCGGAGTTGGAAAGCCGAGCCACCTTGGCCGTTTGCTTGGGCAAGGACTGCTTGCGCTTCTTCCCTGCTTTGACATCCTCTGGATTCCAATTCTGGTTGCCCACAGCTTCTTCAAACTCTTTCAGCAGCTGCTGCGACTCCATGTTGACACTGAGGATGCTGTTGGAGGTGCAAGCTGAAACGGCCGGGCTGATGACATGCTGTTGTTCTTGATGGGCTGTTTTGGTGAAGGCTGGGTGGATCTGCGCTGGGGATACTCTCCGCTTTTTGAAGGTACCGTTCTTGAGCCGGTCAGCGTACTGGGGATCAAGCTTCCAAAACCCGCCTTTCCCTGGCTCGCCCTTCTCCCGGGGCACCTTGATGAAGCACTTATTCAAGGAGAGGTTGTGCCGGATGGAGTTCTAGACACAAAAGAGAAAAAAACAACAAGGTTGAACGCTTGTCTGATGCTGCAGCACCTACCTGCATGGGGAGGCTGGTGGAAAAGGACATTTTCAGCAAGGACCTTTGGGAAAAAGAAGGCAGAAGCAGCAACGTCAAGACATCCCAGGCTACATGCCCAGCAGAAACTCCCCTGCCCCAAGTCACCAGCAGAGTTTTCTTGCCTCGTGTCTAATCCAGCCAGAAGTGGCAGGAGCCAAGAGGTTCAAGCAGGACTTGCCAACCAACGGGAAGCTTTTGTGCAACTCTCCTTGGCTGTAAATTGGGACCGTGGAACCTTGGACCATGCAGAGCACTGGGAGAAACCAGCCAGACTTGCTCTAGGCATGGAGCTAAACAGGAGGAGCTCAGGTCCTCCTTTGCGGCTAAGGAGGAAGAGGAGGGTCTTTACACTGATGTAGCCACGGCTCCGTTACAAGTGGCAATACGTAGCAGCACCATGGGGGACAGCATCATCGGGGCCCTCTTTGCATCCCCCAGTTCATCTGGGTCTATTGCTAGTGTTGAGAGGAAAATATTTGGCAAAAAAATAGGCATCATGCCTCCCTGCAGCCAGGCTGACACAAACCAGGTGGGCAAAACCAGAGGGACACGTGGGCTGTTCCATTGCAGCCCTGTGTATCCCCAGAGGTGCCTCCTGGCCTGGGGAAGCTCGGTGTGAAGTCACTGCATCTTCATCAGCCACTGCTCAAATAAGCTGGGGAGGGGAAGGGGTGGAAAAAAAAAAAAAGAAAAAAAAGAGGAGTTTCTGCTCCTGTCGAGCTGTTCTGAAACCCTGAATGTGCCTGGAGTGATGTGAATAATCAGAAAGGAAACTCAGTTATTGGGTAAATAACCCAGCGTTGGACTCCACAAAGCCAAGACTGTATTAAGAGATTGGATATGGTAGAGGGTTGGGGTTTTTTTAATGTTGCCTGGATATCTTTATGCTTATTCATCCATAATCCGTAGTGCCAAATACGAAAAACAAGGCTTGAATGCTTAGAGCTGTTGAAAAACACACACACACACATACACACACAACACAAAACCCTCCTCTAGGCTGAAGCTCCTTGGGTGTGTTGGCTTCTCTCCAAAGCACTCAGCTCCCACAGGAATATATCCATCTCCCCCCAGAGTATGGGTGGCATGACCTTTCCAGGCTGTCTTGACATACGGGAATTGGGATAGGGGGTGAGAACACAGCCTCGAAAAGAAAGAAAGAAAAAAAAAAAAAACACAGAAAAAGAAAGGAAAAAAAAAAAAAAACAGAAAAAGAAAGGGAAAAAAAAAACGGAAAAAGAAGCAGCAGGAACACAGATATCCCTGCAAACAATCCAGGCTGTGGTAACTCCAAATTTACAGTTTGACGAAATTTTACAAGAGTCAGAGACTTGCAAGCTGAATTCTCTTCTCCCCATTTCCCCTCCCCAGCCCAAACTTCATTCAGCCTGGGCTGCCCTCCGTTATTACCCAGCCAGTTAACATATTTATCATTCCTGCCTGCAACAATTCCGTGAACCCCCTGCATCTCTGTGGAGAGGGATTGAAAACCTTCTTTCTTTTTTTAATAAACACATTTAATTAAAAATGTGGTGATTATCCAGCCGTGACTTTGCAGGAGAAAGTCAACACGCTGGCACACGGGTCCTCCTCCCAAATCACTCCCATAGGTCCCCCCAGCACAGGGGAGGCTGGGGGACTCAGGTGGCTTTGGAAAGGGACTGGGGTGTTCCCTCCCTCGTGATGTGCCTCAAGACCCGCTGGAGACCCACCTGCCTGGGGAGAAGGTGGGCAACACCTGGTCAGGGGGTTTGCAGCGGTTTTGCCGAGCCCTGCCTGGGTGAGCACTGCTGCCGGGCTCGTTGGCACACTGCGGATTTGGGCTGGGAATAACCCGAGTGGAGGGACAAGCCACCCAGCTCCCTCCGCACGTGCCAGAGGTCCCCTCGTGTGATGCAGGAGGGCAGCGAGCCAAGATGGCTGGGAAAAGCCCCTGCGTTTTGGGCTGTCCCCAAAAGCTGGTGAGCCTGGGGGCTGTCCCCTACCCGCCAGGGACACACTCCTGCTAGCTGGGGACAGCAGCCCTATTTAACCTCTCTTGGGCTTCCCTCTAGGGCCTCTCCAGCTCATCACAGAAATGGAGCCTCCTTCACCTGTCTGAGGGGACAGGAGATTTGCCCTCTGCCCTGCTTGGAAAGAAGCAGCATTTCTGGTCTGAACCTTCCTAGCAAGGGATTTGTCCAACAAGCAGCATTTCCCTCGGAGTCCTCTCCATCCCTCTCCTACGCCTGGTCCTCAGCGCCCAGAGATACTTGACCTGGTGACTTTGTGTGTGCTCAGCTCCGAGGGACTCAGGACTCCGCGAGAGCTCCAGAAAGGTGGAGTTGGGGATAGAGACGCTTTCACTCTGGAGCCAAGAGGAGCCTCAGGGACCAGCAGCCCAACAGGTACCTCCCTGCTCCCAAAATGGCCCTGGGCTCTCCCCCATAACAGGTCCTTCCTTCCATTGCCCTCATGGCCATGGCATTTCTGCACACCCAAGCTCTTTCCCATTACAGCCCTTCTCCACGGGCTGCCAGTGCCAGTGGGATTCAGCATCCCAGTGGGACCTTGCCTTGCATGGCGGAGCCTGTGCAAAGCCCTCCCCAGCCTTCCAGGGAGAGGGGACAAGGCAAGAGGTCTCCAAATCTCCTACCTGCCAAGTGGGATCAGCATGTCGGAAGTAGCAGAAGTTGTCAGTAATCCACTTGTAGATGGCAGAGAGGGTGATTTTGGGCTTGCCGCTGGCTTCCATCGCCATGCAGATGAGGGTGGCGTAGGAATAGGGTGGCTTGACGTGCGGATTGGTCTTGTAGTTGATGTCCTCCATGAGCTGAGGGTGCGTGGTGATGGTGTGGTGTGCCGTATTCGAGGTGGAGGAGGAGATGGGCTTGCAGGGATTCTGCGGCACACCCATGCACGCCGGGTCAGCAGCAAGGGGTGAGCATGGGGAAGCAAAGCTGATGATCGTGTGGTACTCATGGGGATCCAGGCTGCTGATGCAGCAGGAGGGTTTGCCTATGCTGGTGTTGGCAATTGCGAA